ATTATGGAGTAAGCTTGTAGCTTGGCTATATGCCCATGATTGGTGACTCTTCTTGGGTAATATAAGGAGAAAAAGCTCCCACCTCCCAAGAAAAATGTGTGATCAAAAGGGCCAAAAGCAGAAGCAATATAAAAGCAGAGACAAAAACCACCACTTTGAAACAAAAATAAAACTGTGGCCGACTGTCCAGTCACCTTGCTACACAGGTAGTGTTTGTGCACCATAGAAGCCTCCAGTAATGGGTGGGGGTGTCCACTCACTCAGGGCCCTCCTCTAGTCACTACTGTATAGGTGTGCAGATAGTTGTTGAGAAGTGAATGGGAGAAAGACTGTTTACTATTTTTGTCTCTGAAGGTCAGTTAGGTATTGCGTGTGCACAGCATAATTCCTGAAATAGTTGCGACTTTTTATGTTGGGGTTTTACAGATTGTTTATATGGTTTGTCAGGCCAAACCTGCTTTTCTTCTTGGATAGGCAGGAGTAAAGGGTCCCTGCATGAGTCAACTTTAGGGCTGGTACCCACAGGCAGAAGTCCAAAGCAGCAACCAAAGAATTTGCCCTTGGACTTATGGGGCTCTTTCTCTCTGTTCCGCTGGAAAGCTGTGATCTCAATGCTGGACTTTTTTGGGGGTGTGCACCCACCCGCCTGAGGGCATCTGGGTTGGGCAAAGAAGGCGCAACAGGGAAGAGGAGGAAAAAATGTGTAGAATGCACCTCCTTTTGCAAATGTCACTGTGCCACTTTTAGTGCTGGTTCCCTGTGCCGGTCTGGCTGTAGCCCCGCCCACTGACCTCCACCTGGACGAGATGGCTGCAAAGGGAGTCCCCGTGTCTTGACCAATTCCTAAATTGTATTATTTTCTTTTATACCGTGATTTTTCCACTGGCGGTTGTGGGAAACTGACACCTTGAACCTTATGCTAGATCCAGAGCTCTGGTGCTGTACTGTGAGAGCAGCGTCTCTGGGTTTTCACTCCTTCCCCCACGGAACCTGTCCTACCTGACTCTGCTCTGCTGGCACCA